AACTTAACATCACCATCATCATGTTCATCATTATCATTTTTACCATCATTATCATCATCAGCATCCCCGTCATCATCATCAGCATCACGATCACCATCACCGCCATCATCATCATCATTATCATTATTATTATCATCATCGTCGTCATCATCTTCACCTCATCGTCGTCATCACTATCGTCATCATCATCAGCATCATCATCATCATAATCATCATCATCGTCGTCATCACAATCATCGTTACAGTTATCATCATTAGCATCTTCATCAGCATCATCACTACCGTCATCTTCATGTTCGTCATCATTGTTATCGTCATCAGCATCATCATCAGCATCATCATCGCCGTCATCTTCATTGTCGTCATTATTGTGATTGTCATCGTCATCATCATCATCATCATCATCATCCTCATCTTCCTCGCCCTCCTCGTCTTCATCATCATCATAATGCCCTCCCCCTTCTTCTTATTGTTAGTATTCGTATCCTTCTGATTATCCTTATTATTTTTCTTCTTCTCTCCTCCTCCTTCTTCTCCTTCTTCTGTTCATGCCGCTTATTATTATTATTATTATTATTATTCTCTCCTCCTACTACTACTACTCCTCCCCCTCCCCCTCCTCCTCCTCCTCCTCCGCCTCCTTTTCCTCCTCCTCCTCGTAATCATCATCATCAGATCGTCCTCCCCTTCTCGTGCTCATGCCGCTTCTTCTTCTTGTCTTCGGGCGGGCTGATTTGTTTCAGCCTTAGTGTTTTTCCGTCGTTTCGGCTTCTGTGGGCTGTCTTCGAACCCCAGCGCCACCACTGTGGATTTGGGACGAACAGTTGCCCCTGGGGAATATGTCAAGGCCTTGTGGGGGCCCGCGGGTTGAACATATCGGTCAGTCCAGTGTCTGGGTAAGCGGAGAGCCGCAGACGATTCCACAGCGAAAGAGAGCGATAATGACAATGATATATTTATACATGCATGTACACATGTGTATATATACAAAGAGAGAGAGAGAGAGAGAGAGAGAGAGAGAAAGAGAGAGAGAGAGAGAACGAGAGAGGTAAATAAAGAGAGATAAAGAAAGAGAGAGTGAGAGAGACAGAGCGAGAGATAGGGAACCAATCACATATGGTGCAGCTTCCCGAAGGCAAGAAGTAGGCACAGTGTTTCGCTCACTGACGGAATTTTTCCCCAAACAGCTTGCTGAACGGGGTGCGGTTGTGGTAGAAGTTAATTCCAGCCGAGGGAAAGAGGAGCAGAGACATCCTCAAACAAATCTGGTTGTCTGGGCCGTTTCGCTAGAGAGATCCTCACAGCTCTCCTTTCTGAGTTGTCCGGTATCGGCCGTTTCGCTTGAGACATCCTCGAAAATCTGAGCTCCGGGACGCCTCGCGCGGTGTGTTCTGGGCCGTTTCGCCGCAGACATCCTGGAAATTCCAAGCCCCGAGATGCTGTGCGAGAAGCGGTCTGGGTCGTTTCGCTTCAGACATCCTCAGAAATTTGGGCTCCAGGATTCCGCGTGCGAGGTGGTCCGGGCCGTTTCGCCTGATACACCCTCCCAATTCTGAGCTCCGAGACGCCGCGCGAGGAGGTCCAGCGCGTTTCGCTTGAGACATCCTCCCAACTCTGAGCTCCGAGATGCCGCGCGAGAGGTGATCTGGCGCGTTTCGCCTGAGACATCCTCGCAACTCTGCGGTCCGAGCTGCCGCGCGCGAGGTGGTCCAGCACGTGTCGCCTGAGACATCCTCGCATTTCTGCGCTCCGAGCTGCCGCTCGAGAGGAGGTCCGGCACATTTCGCTTGAGACATCCTCGCGCCCCTCAGCTCCGAGATGTTGCGCGAGAGGTGGTCCAGCTCATTTTGCCTGAGACATCTTTGCAACTCTGAGCTCAGAGAAAGTGTGCGCAAAAGTGTGTGGCCCGTTTCACGTGAGATATCCTCGCAATTCATCGCTCCGAGATGGTGCGGGCGTGGTGATCTGGCCCGTTTTGTCTGAGACATCTTCGAATTCTGGGCTCCGAGAGGGAGGAGAAAGGAGGGAGGAGGGGTCAGACCCAAACGAATCATTTGATTATATTTCCCTGTTGTCGATTTATGATCTGTGAAGGGTCTGGGCGCCGCCTGAGACATCCTCGCAACTCTGTACTCCGAGCTGCCGCGCGCGAGGAGGTCCAGCCCTTTTCGCCTGAGGCATCCTCGCAACTCTGAGCTCTCAGATGTCGCACGCGAGGTGGTCCAGCCCGTTTCGCCTAAGACCTCGTCGCAACTCTGAGCTCCGAGGTGTTGCGCGCGCGGTGGTCCAGCCCGTTTCGCCTGAGACATCCATGCAACTCTGAGCTCCGAGGTGCTGCGCGCGCGGTGGTCCAGCCCGTTTCGCCTGAGACATCCTCCCAATTGAGGGGCTCCATGATGCTGCACGCGAGGTGGTCAAGCGCATTTCGCCTGAGACATTCTCGCACCTCTGGGCTTCTTGCAGATGTGCGCGGGGTGGTCCAGCTCGTTTCGCCTGAGACATCTTTGCAAGTCTGGGCTCTCAGAAAGTGTGCGCGAGGTGGTCTGGCGCGTCTCGCTTCTGACACTCTCGCAACTGAGCTCCGAGATGCCGCGCCAGAGGTAGTCTGGCCCCTTTCGTTCGAGACATTCTCGAAACTCCTGGGCTCCGAGAGGGAGGAGAGAGGAGCGAGGAGGGGCCGGACCCAAACGAACCATTTGATTATCTTTATGTTTTTGTTGCTGTTGTTTTTGCTGTTGTTGCTGTTGTTGTTGTCGAGTTGTACTCTCGAAAATGTCGTGGCGCCCCTGGCCGGACGGAGGAGGTAGACGGCACTGAGGCGCGAGCACGATTATTGAGTAAATTGCCAGGGTTTCTCAGGGGGGAGCCACGCTGGAGCAAATCGTGCAGATGCCTCGGCTAGAGCGCGGCGAGCAGGGAAGAGGCAGGATGGGGAGGAGAATTTGGGGGGGAGAGAAGATCTCCGAGATGCGGAGGAAGGAGACGCGACCAGACTCAAACGCTAATTACCTTTTCGAGGACATCCCTGACGAAGGTGCCTCCTAGAAGCGGCATCGAGAGTGCGAAGGCATCCCTGGTATGGCAAATGAAGGGAAGACGAGGGAAGATGAGGAGGAGGAGGAGGACGAGGAGAAGGAGAAGGAGAAGGGGGAGGAGGAGGAAGGGGACGAGCAGGAGGAGGAGGACGACGAGGAGGAGGAGGAGGAGGAGGAGCACTGCGAAGCGGAGGAAGACGAGGAACACGAGGAGGAGTACGAGGAATACAAGGAGGAGCACGGTGAGCAGGAGGAGGAAGAGGAGCAGGACCAGTGTAAACGCAAGAAGCATTCAGGATGTTGGACTAAGCCCTCCCTCCAAGCTCCCCCTTCATGGGCCCCTACGACATTTTACTTCCACTAAGGGAACTGCCTCGTTGGAAGACAACCGCTTGAAGACCCTGAAGCGTGCCAAAACATTTTTCTCGGGATCCAACGTCACGGATCAACCTGACTGTTGCGTCTTGTCGATCATGAATCGTGCCAGAGAGCCATTCCTGGAACTTCAACACCGCGACCCAACATGATTGTTGCGCCCTCCTAGTCTTGAATCCTTCCAAAACGCAGTTCCTGGAACGCTGATCATGGGAACCCGTGAGAGTCTTGCAACTCTAAAAGGACACGCGCGCGCGAGAGCCACATTTTGAAAATTAACAGCCCTCAATCCGTGAAACTCTTGCAATGTTTAAAACGACTGTGCGCGGCGCTAGAGCGAGAGCCACAGTTTCAGGGTCCTGAGTGGTGCGGCAGTCTTAGGCGAAACGCCGGGCCCGCCCTAAAAGCTGGTGTCGGGGTGCGGCAGGGAGAAGTTAAGTATAAGGAAAAGGAAAGGAGGATGACAAGGAGGAGGCGAATGACGAGGTAGAGGATGAAGAGGAAGAGGAGGAGGAGGAGGAGGAGGAGGAGGAGGAGGAGGAAGAGGAAGAGGAAAAGGAAACAACGACGAGGAAGAATAGCAGCAGGAGCATGATGGTCTTCGCATAAGGAGGGGGACGAAGAGGAGCGAAATGAGGATACAGGAGGGGGTGGAGGAGGAGGAGGCGGAGGAGGAGGAGGAGGAGGAGGAGGAGGAGGAGGGGAGGGGGACCAGGTGGATCAGGATGAGCAGGATGGGGAGGAGCGGGAGTAAGAGCAAACGGGGACGAGGACGAAGAGGGGCAGGAGGAGGTGTAGTGGAAGGGGGAGGGCGTTGGCGAGATGGAGAGTCGCGTGGGTGCGGGGGAGGAGGACGACGACGACCACGAAAAGCTCGACGACGACTCCGAAGGCGCAGGCGGACATCGCGCGAACGATCTTAGGAGCCACCTTAGCTCAAAAAACGCTGTTTGGGGACACTGCGTTCTGGCTAAAGCATGCTCCCCCCCACGTGGGCGACTTCGCGAGGTTGGTACATCCGTGCTGGAGCTCTACGAGGAAGATAGTGAGAGAAAGAGAGAGAGAGAGAGAGAGAAACAGAGAGAGAGAGAGAGAGAGCGAGAGCGAGAGACATTAAGAAAGAGAGGGGGAGACATATAGAGAAAGGAGAGTCTGTGTGTGCATGTGTGTGCGAGAACGAAGAAAAGAGTGTGGCACAACCGTGCTTGACCGATACTGCTACACTGCGCAGTTTGCCGAATATCGTGCAGGATATCAGTCATCATCCACTTCGTCCAGCGCGCCGTCTTCATCGTCCCCCTCCCTCGACCCGCATCGCCCATGTTTTCCTCCCTTACCATACTGCCTTCATGCTCGTCCAGTTGCTGTTCTTCCTTCCCATGCTCTTACGTTCACCTGATCGTTCCTTTACTGTTCCTTCTCAGTTTCATACTCCTCCTCCTCGTTCATTTGTTCTTGGCACCGCCTACAGTCCCGGAGGGCTCTGGTCACAGTCGGCATTTCTGTTGAGCTCCGTTCAACTACGGCCGCCTGGCCGTGCATGTCAAACAGCAAACGTGTCGTCATCGGTTGCTGTGTACATCCTCTGAGGCACGGAGGTCGTTCCAGTACCTCTGTTCGAGGCGCTCGACGGCAAGACGTCGTGGGCCGCATAGCGGCTGTCGGGACGAGAGGAGTAGACAACACATTATGAACAAGCAACAGGGAAGAGCATGAAGAGCACGAGGAGGATATGAGGAGCAGAGAAAGGAGGAGGAGGAGGAGGAGGAGGAGGACGAGGAAACGGAGGAGGAGGAGGACGAGGAGGAGGAGGAGGACGAGGAGGAGGAGGACGAGGAGGAGGAGGAGGGGGAGGAGAAGGACCAGGAGGAGGAAGAAACGAGGGACCAGGATGAGGATGAGGAGAAGAGGGAGAAAGCGAGGAGGAGGGAGAGGCGATTTCGACTGATCAGGGAAAGGATAATGATATGAAGGAGGAGGAAGCGGAGGAGGAAGATGGGGAGGAGAAGGAGGAAGAGGAGGAAGATGAGGAGGATGAGGAGGATGAGGAGGATGAGGATGAGGATGAGGATGAGGCGGAGGAGAAGGAGGAGGAGGAGGAGGAGGAGCGGGAGGGGGAGGAGAAGGAGGAGCGGGCGGGGGAGACGTAGTGGCAGTAGTAGCAGTAGTAGCAGTAGTAGCAGTAGTAGTAGTAGTAGTAGTAGTAGTAGTAGTAGTAGTAGTAGTAGTAGTAGTAGTAGTCGTAGTAGTCGTAGTAGTCGTAGTAGTAGTCGTAGTAGTAGCAGTCGACGTAAGAGTAGTAGTAGTAGTAGTAGTAGTAGTAGTAGTAGTAGTAGTAGTAGTAGTAGTAGTAGTAGTAGTAGTAGTAGTAGTAGTAGTAGTAGCAGTAGTAGTAGAAGAAGAAGAAGAAGTAGAGGTAGTAGTAGTAGTAATAATAATAGTAGTAGCAGAAGCAGTAGTAGTACACAGCTGGGAAAATATAACACGTTCAACAAGAAGATCATTTTGAGTGGTCTACAGGCGGCAATGCCCAAAAATGATCATCAATTGAGATTCGCCTTCCAATGTTGACAGCGTGCGCAGGCGCGCACCATGGGCCAGCCCATCGATATGCTTTGCTTTGGCTTGCGCGCCCGGTGGCAACATTGAGAGGCGAATGCCGCCTAACGCCCGGGCGCTGTTCCAAGTTCATCCTTCACAGGGCCGCCGGCGTGGGCGGTTCCACGTTTTGCCATGCGCCTTCGTTCCCACGGTCGGACGGATGAAATGCGCCGCGCAGCGCAGACGAGACGTTCTTCCGTAACGTTGACAGGCGGGCGTCACTTGATGCGACGGGCCCCGCCTGGTCCGATTCGACATCGTTTTGGCGTACAGCCCTGCGCCACTTTTGTTATTTCTTTCACGGGGATGGGTAACTCTGCCCGAGTATGGGATTTCCGCGCGATTCCCTCTCATCTTTTACTTGTTTCGTCCTTGCTTCGAAGGCAGTCCCTGCTGCGTCATTGGCTCAGCCCGCGGCGAAAGCAGACGCTGCGCACAGTCGGAAACGGGCGTTGTTCGTGACGGCGCCGTCCTGCAGCCCTCAAGGCAGATGCGTGTAGTGTGACGGGGGTGCCCATCATCGGCACTGCTCGCACGCTGGGGTGGGCAGATGAGCCGGAGGCAGAGGGGTGCCTTCGAATTGTGCATTCTCTGAAATCCGCAGCCAAAAGGATGTGAGTTGCGATTCTTGTACCTTGCAACGCGCTTGTCTGCGAAGAGTTCACAGCGTCGTGCAGATGTTGGCAAACTAAACCGTTGGCGCGCCGCCGCCAGCGAATCAGGCTAAATGGAATCAGTCATCCGAACATTGCCATATTCAGGAAGTTGCGTTCATGCAGCAGTTGTGATTATCCAACTGAGCAGTAGGGCCTTGGCGCTACTCACATACATCACCGCTCCGCGGGTCGCGGGGCCGTGCCCGCGGTAATCTTCCCAGGCGCAGCCGCATTGTCGGCCAGACATGGGAGCTGCAACGGCGTTGCTTGTTTTGATCATGCTGAGTGCTAGTCACTTTCGCAGTAGGCAGACGCACGCGCACATTGGCGACTCCTCCCAACGCGGTCGCAAGGGACTGGAGAACCGCTTCTGCCATTCTTGCGCTGGAGCGTTCCAAAACGCTTTCAGAGCGTTTTGGAAAGCTCTGAAAAGGCCGCGGCACCGGAGACATCTTCCAGCGCTGCCGGATCTCAAAGGTTCTCAATGTATCCTCACCCGATTTTCTCCTCGTCCTGGCTTCGTCTCAAGAGAGGGGAGCGACCCCCGAGGGCCAGGACCGACCTGGGGCCAGGGGGCGGAGGGTGCAGCCAACCTGCATAGCGAGGATGAGCGAGTCTCCAAGGTTGCCCCCTGCATCCTGGCCCTTTCCAGCCCATCCCAACGTTCGTGGACACGGTCGGGGGGCCTGGCACCTCAGGTGGTGACCAGGTCCCCCGCGGTCGCGGCCGCGTGCGGCCGCCCACTCCCGAGGGAGTCCCCCTCTTTGAGGCTGCCTTACCTACCTACCTACCTACCTACCTACCTACCTACCGACCGACCGACCGACCTACCTACCTACCTACCTACCTACCTACCTACTCTCGCTGG